TATAGGGGGAACAAAGGAGTTAATGCCTAAAACAATTTAAAAATAGGGTTCAAATTACTGAAAAAAGGTAAAAACAAATCCAAATTTCTTCCCTTCATTTACTTTAATGCATAGTCTAATCTACAGGGCCAGAATCAGAAAATATCTCTTTGGCTTTGCAGCATCATTATTGGTTTGTAAGTTATACCTTCTCAAAATCTCTGTAGATTGATAGCAGTGGATTCCACTGTAACTTTCTTTAAGTGGGTGTGTGTAATGCATATAAGATACAGACAAGGAAGCACTAGGATTTCTGTTTTCCATTGAAGTAGGTGACGCCAGCCCACTATCTGTAACAGACTGTTCCTTTGGAATCAGTTCCCTGTGTCACAACGACCTGGCAAACTCGAATGCTTTCACTATCACTAGAGTCCTTGCAATCCTGCCTTGGCTATCACCCATTCACTTTTGCCCCAACTTCTCAGAGATGCCCTTACTCAGCATCTAATTAGTTAGGGAGGATTTGTGAAGGCTCTTAACCCTGACACAGGAGTAGGAGGTTATGCTGCTGCAGAAGCCCAAATCTGTCCTGTTACTGCATTAATCAATTTTCTTTTCTTTTCTTTTTTTTTTTTTTTTTTTTTGGTATTAATCAATTTCCATAAAGCTATGCATGAATAATTGAATTTATCAGTGAATGTGGAGATATATTGATAAACATAATTATTAAAAACATCTACAATTATAGGTAAGGTATCTGTACCTTTAGGAATTTAGTTCCCAACTGCAGCTATTGACTCACCTTAAACAAAACATTTTACAAATTATACAAGCACAATGGACCTGTTTGCAGATGACAGAATGGTGAGAACATTAAATAATTTTAAAATGATAAGCTATTATGTTCAAATTCATTTAAATGTATCATGTTAAAAATAAACTTAAAATTTGTACAGAGGTTTCTAAAATGCACTGCATACACAGTTTAGAATACATTTGTACCATGTTTTATTTGCATTAACTTGTACACACACATTTAATATTACATATGCATAACCTACTACCTTCCTATCTCATTACAATCATTACAACTGTACCTGTTAAATAGTATCTTCAAGTTAGCCACAGGTTTACAAAGTATAGGCCAAAACACAAACACTTGTCTACAGTTATATTTTAAAAATTACTCAAATATTAATATTACAATACCAGAATGAATATTAAGAACCACATTTGAATATATGCCTATCATTAAAACTTCAAAATAAAACATGTTACCATTCAAAATTAGAGAGACTGAAATCTGAGGTAGGAGACTAGTAATCAACAGGCTAAAATTAAATGCCTCCTAAAATAATTTCTTGTTACCATCAGGACTATAGTTTCATCAATTTAATTCACTTTTAGTAAGACATGTTTACCAAAATACACCAATAGAAGCAAAAAGGGAAGAAAGGAAAAGTGCAGAAAGAAACAGCGATGGACAATGCTGGCAATGCAAGTCATTTTCAAAGACCATTAACTATCAACTATCAACTGCTTTACCCGGGGCTGTGATTAAATAAGAATATTCAACCTGTGTTAAAAAGGGATGTCTATCTGAGTGGGATGGGATTTAGAATAAAAATGTATGCATTATAAGGAAGAATCAAAACACAATGTACAATTATGTATGTGACATAAAAAATATTGTGTGTGCACCTTTCAAATTATTGGTGAATAAATATTCAAATTATTATTGGAGGGGTATGGAGTCAGACAAAACCATCATTTTCATTTTAAAATACAGATCCCACAAAACCGGAGTGTATTTGTCTTTATTACAGAAAGAACCAAAAGACTGCTGGAAGAAAAATGCATATTGAGCACACTTTTAAATAAATGCCAGCATCTAAGCAATGTTATATATTTCTTATATTTTATTTATCATTTTCCTGAAAAGTGCTAGATTTTACTAGTAAGAAAGTTTGCTTTACTCTGTCATATCTCTTGTGAGCAGAAGCTCTGGAATTAATGTAAATCGCTGATTTAATTTTTAGCTTTCTTGGTTTGCCCCTTACCTATCTAAGAAATGATTTCTCTGGTGATAACTAACACATCATGCTAATGAGAGAATCTAATGCACAATAGAAAAATGTCACTACTAATAATATTTGCATGAAGTTAAATAAAGCAACTGTAAGAGAATGTCAGACGGTTGTTCTTTAATAAGACACAGTTTCACAATGAAATTATGTTGTTAATTTTGTTACATCATTGGGTGAATCCTAAATTACTACATAATGATGTACCGAGTCATTTATAATTCTAACAGTATTTCATTCAAGTCTAAAAAGAGACCTTATTAAAGAATCTACATTTTATTTGAAACAGGTTAAATATACCTTATCGTTAATATAAGGTAAATGCATCTAGTAAAGTGTGAAATATGGACAATGGCCATTTACCTGTGTGGTTTTTTTCTGAAGATTTTAAAATAAGATTAGCCCATCCCATCTCTTGAGATAGCTACAAGAATTTTATTTGCTATCCTTCTGATGCATAAACCTATGCACAAAAATAGAAAAAAACATCTTTTAAAGTCTAAAAAAAAAGCTTTCAAAAACAGGGTTTTTTTGTTATTGTTTTTGGTCTTTTTTTTTGCTTCTAACAGCACCTCACTAAGTGATACTGGGGAAAATAAGCTTCTAGGAGATGGGGAGAAAGAAAGAGTGAAAGGCTTCTGGTCATTCTCAGTCTGTCACTGATCAAACTGATTTGAGAACTCCCTTTGCAAAAATCAAGAGTTACGTCCTTTAAGGTTCTCAAGTATTCATCTATATACAAAGAAATGATTCTTTTTGAGAAAATGATATAGGAGAGAAAATATAGAGAGGCAAGAAAATAGGGTCTAATAGTCATATCTCAAACTTTAAGGTAATATACATAATCACATCAAACCTAAATTGACTTTAGATTGTGATTTTTTTTTATTACTACCAGACAGAATGAAAGATTTACATTTAAGGAAATTCAACTTTGCTCATATAAAAGATACAGATTTTTATATCCCTACTTCCTAGTTAACCTGTAGAAGATCCAAACGTAGATTATTAACTTTCAGTATGCATGAGATATTTCTCACAACTTTTTGTGCAGTTATGTACTGATGACACATTTTTTAAGTTAGCTTTAAAATATTTTATAGTAGTCATACAAAAGACAGTCTTTCTAATTTTTAAAGAAATAATCAGGGAAACCATTATAATTTTATACTATAACTTTCAAAAATAAAAAATATGCCCAATTGATACTACTAATAAAACTTTTTAAAATAAAAATATGCCAAATAAATTATGTTCATTTTATGAGCTGAATAAATTTTTTACTCACAAATTAAAATAATCATTAAATAACCTCTTTGTGGCTTACAAATGAGATACATACAATTCTATGTATTTGATTAAATTTGACAATTTTTTTACCTTGAATAAAGTTATTTAATGTGGATACTGAAACATTTCTTAAAGCTGGTGGCTTCAAGAAATATCAAGAAGTGTCTCTCTTACACACATACACAGGCACACTGCATCAGCATTGCTGACTATAAGGAAATCAAGTATATTAAACACATAAGCACAGATTTATATATAGTTTGAATTTAAACTGTACACAATATTTATAAAAACTAAAATGTCATCTTGAGGAAGAAAACAAGCCACACACATGTAAATTAAACAGCTCTTTTACATGCTTTTCAAAAACACATAGAAGGTAAATATTTAATAACTATGACAAAAAAAGGGAGGGAAGGAATCATTACATCAAAACCAAAAAAAATTAAGTATAGTTAACAATACTTTTTAAATTTGTAATTTTTTACCTTTATTATAGAAGTTTGGTAAATAATATAATTAGCATTTCAAAGTTTTATAAGGTATCCTCAAGGATAAATGACTTGCCTATATTTCATTATCTTCTTGTAGTCACTGATGCTATTGTACACACATTCACACATGCACATGCAAATTAAATCTTTGTGTATTCAAACAGCTGGATTAAAGACATCATGATAGCCTAAGTTGCATAAGTTTCTCTCTCTCTGAGTGATTTAAAATTATTTCTCTAATTCATAACTTTATATAAACACAAATGTTTTCTACAACTTAGTGTCCTTAGATTCAAACCTACTTGGAAATGGGCTAGTGCCAAAGAAGCAATCTAACACCATCTATGTGGTTCAATAGCCATTTATCAATTGATCATTATCTCTATCTGGTTTTATTAACTCTTTTCTACCTAGAGGGAGACCTAGCCAATGTTCCCTTCCAACTCACACACACACACACACACACACACACACACACACACACAACCTACACTAACTCAAGAAAAACCCTGGAGGTCACATAGAATTTTAAAAGTATGGCACGAGTGATTTGATTCTAAGGTTAGTGAAAACAAGACAGCCACCTAGGCAGGGCCATGCTCCCGACAAACAGCTCTCAAAAGCATTCTGTAGGGAAAAGAAGCATCTCTTCTAGGAAATGAACTTTTCACTAGAAAGAATGGGAAATTGCAAATAAAGAGTTGCTTATTGAGTTTATGTTGATTGCATTTAAATCCCAGCTTACTGTATCAGCAGTAATCAGGGTCCCTCTACAGGATGTCAAAATACACCTTATTCAAATGCATTTATACTATCTAGAACTGTGTGATAAAACTGTTTGCCAGGTAAAAATGTTTCAAGACCTGGCTGCATGTACTGTCTTTGGCAAATACATTTCTAAACTGTGGCAGTTTATAGCCCAGCGAATTGTTTTCTTTCCTTCATTATCAACAATTTTTAAAATCTAATTCAAAATAGTAAATGTCTGTGAACTCTTACATACAAAAAAATGTTTGTTTAAAATTTTTTGCAGTATTTTTCAGATGAGGGAAACTTTTTTTTGGACACTTGCGATGTAAAGTCCACCACGTATGTGTCAATACTGCTTCCCTGCTGTGTGGATGATAAACTCCTGCTTTGTGTGGGTCTGGTGTAGGCTTTTGAAAAAGCGAGACGCGTCTAGGAGGGAGGCACCAGGGAACTTCCCTCCCTCACTTGAGCACAGTCCAAGACGAAAGTTTCTGGGTTGTTTCCCCTTCGCTTCCTCTCGCCCTGGCTCCCCCGCGGAGCCGCAGCACCAGCAATTGTGCAAGAGGAGCCGGGAGCACGGCGCGCATCGCTGAGCGCCCGGGACGAGCCGCGCCGGTGATTAATTATCAGTGCCCGCCGGCCTCGACTCTCACGCCGACTCACAGGCGGAATCGGAGCGCCGAGCTGCCTCCGGCACGGCCGCACGGAGGAGCGGCTCTGGGGAGGACCACCGCGGCTGCTGGAGAGTGAGTGCGCCGGCGGGTGGCAGCGGGCGGGCGTGGGGAAGCCAGGGAGGCCGGGGAGCCAAGCAGGGCCAGCAGTGCCAGGACGGCCAGGCCAGCGGCGAGGACCAGGGACCGAGCAGAGCGGTGCGCGGCCACTCGCCATCGCCTGAGCGCCCTGGGCGCTGACCCTTGGCCATGCACTGGAGCCTGCACAACCTCCTCTCCGCAGGGCTGAATCAAGCTGCTTCAGCCGCGAGAAGTCCCAGTCGGAGTGTTGTGAGGGCCCCTAGATTTTAGGACTGGTTGCTGAACCTACTCAAGATAGTAAACATTTTTACCAAGTGGTTTGTACCGCCAGAAAGACAACAGTGGTTGGGTGGCAGGATTTCTTTCTTTTCTTTTTTAAAGACTACAAAGAAATTATAAGTCCTCCTAAGACGCAGACTGTACTGTGAAACTTTGCAACAAACGCCTTGGCTTTCTTGTACTTCAGTATCTTTTCCCCTTTTCTTTTAAGGAGCCCTTGGGGAAACCATGAAGTTACCCTGCACATTCCAGTAACACAGTTATGACAAAACAAAGCCTATGAAGTGATCACATTTTAAAAAAATATTTACAAAAAAACTCAAAAATGCACATAACAAAGGCTTCTCAAAAAAAAAAAAAAAAAAAAGGAAGAAGAAGAAGAAGGAGAAGAAGAAAAAGAAAGTAACTTACCTGTTGGGACATTCTGAATAAGAGGTTAGTATCAGCGTTTTGCCATGTCCCCATGAACCCTGGTTCAGCCGTAGTTGTTCTGGTTCCGAACTGCATGGAGTTGTCAATATAGGAGTCTCTTAAAGTCAAGTCTCTTGCCCTCTTTGGCTCTCTGTCTCTCTGTGTCTCTCTTTCTCTCACATCCACTTCTGCCTCTTCTGACTGAAAAGTGAAGGTGGATTTTTTGAGCCTCTTGGCAGCCAGTAGCAAGAATGTAGTGTAGTTAAGAAGCTGGCTGAACTGTGCATTTCATTTGGGGAGGGGGAGTTTGGGGGGAACAGGGGGTTCAGAGCTTCTTTCGCACCTTCTGCACAGATATCCCTATCATTTATGCATAGATTGTGACTCCCCAGGCTTGCCTTTCTCGGTTTAACAGCTGCCTGTCAGGTGTTCAGGCTGCACTGGAGACCCAACCATCAGCTTCAAACCCTCAGCCACTGCATGTCATTGGATAGCAGAGCTAAGAGTCAACTGCACTGTTCCACTGTCAGGCACCAAATGACACCCCGCACTAACTCCTCTCCAGACAGAGACAGATAGACACTTATGCACACTCCAAGCAATGCTCAGTAACTACCCTGGGCAAGGGGAAGTAAGGGCCCTTCCCAGGGAATTTTCCCCAACAGTGCTTTCTGGTGTATCTTGTAATATCTGACCCAGTTTTAACATTTGTAAAACTGTGATACTTGTATTTTTTTTTAATTACACTGAAAGTAAAATACTAGGCTGGAAAAGAACATAAACTTGGCTCAGTTTTCTAAATGTTAGCTGCTAAAAGTCATACAGTATTTGCTCACCTACAATAACTATATACTGTAAAAACACGTAGAGAAAATAATATACATACAAACTTGACCTTATACTCTAAAGAATAAGTACCCCTAGCAGTTTAAAATGGAACATACACCATAAACATTTGTAAAATGAATACATACTACAATTTAGTACCTCAGGCTATTAATTACTAAACTGAAGATTAAGTAGTGAGAAACTGAATGACAAACAAAAGTACCTGTCCTTGAAGCTCAAAAGTATAACAAAATCCTTTGTTAAAGTTCTTAGATAAAGCACACACAATATCTTTTCAAACCATAAAGGAAAAGATTTTTAAAAACCCTATCCCATTTCAGGCAAAAAGTAATGAATATAAAATCTCCATTTTTCATTCAAGATCTCTATGGAAAAGTCTATAATGTTTCCCTGTTTGATGAAATACAGCCTCAACAGCAGGTCATAGTTTTAATTAAACCAGTTTTAAACAAAACATCTATTTATTAGATAGTATTTATCTAACTTATTTATGGAAAATCAGAAGTGAACAAAATGTACTGTACATAAACATTGTAACTTCAAAAGGGAAAGCTAAATTCATGCTATCTCATAAAAGTAGTCAGCAGAAAAAAAATCATCCTTCCTAAACCTAAAATGTAAGGAACATTAATCTTCAACCACCTACAAATATCGAGGACAAATGTACCACTTTCCTTGCTTCTTCTTAACTAAAGAATAACAATAAACCTTATTCTCTGAAACAACAAAAGAAACAGAAAAGAGCTTCAATGGCAGCTCTGTGTCATTAGTGGACAATGAGAAAAGATGAGAAAACGTACACTATGTTGACACAAATGTGCTTTCCCTACTAGAACCGACATCTCCTGAAAGCTTTTCTGTTAAACTTCCCTCCAGTTCACCACCATTAAGCACAAAAAAGTCTCAAAAGAAGCAAATTCAATATCTGAGAGGAAACAAACAGGAACCCAAAGAATTGTTGCCTTAAAATATATTAAGTCCACCTGTGGTCAATAAAAATATTCTTCAAGGGGGAAGGGCAAGAAAAACCCCTCCAAGTCAATTGTCAACGGTGACTGTACCTTTACTGCTAGCTATTACCCACTTAAACTCCCTCTAAAATTTGCTAGCCTCTTGATTTCTGAAGTGGCACTCAGTGCCTCAGTCAAGCTGCCTGCTCAGCTCCTGACCTTCCCACTAATGGCTGTTATTTGTGGGAGGCTTAAGGACACTGTCAATAGCAAGCTTCCTCCTCGCTCCACTCAAGCTCTGTTGTATCGCTTTGCCTGTGTGTTCTCTCGCCTCTCACTCCCGCTCTCCCCTAGTCTCTCCCCCTCCTTCCTCCTCTGTTTCACTCTCTGTTTCACTCCCTCTTCCTCTGTTTCCAGCCTCCACCCCTTTTTCCTTCAGTCCTGCATTCTCTTCTCTCCCAGGTCAGTCTCTCTCTCTGTCTCTCTCTCTGAGAACACAATGCAACACAACACAACAACACAACACAAAAATCAACTGGCATGCAGCAGCAAGCACCTGCAGTAATAGATTCTTTTATTAAAAATGTTATTCTGCAAGACTTGAAATTCCCCATGGACCGGGCCATGTCAAAGCCGATATAATTAACTAGAGGCTCAGCAACGGATCAATTACCAGACAAGCAAGTGATAGTGAAATCAATGAAAGATCATCAGCCACATTATCAGTGTTGCAACTCATTAGGGCAAAACTGAGAAATGTGCTCAAAGCGAACCCAAGCAAGGTGGCATTACAAAACAAAGGGCTAATTTGGAGACCCTGCTGTGAACAATCTGTAACAGAATTAGCCTTTTTCCCCCCTAAACTGCACAGCTCCGTAACTAAATGTGACAGACTGAGAGAAGCAGTTTATTAAGACACCAACCCCAAGTTTATTTAGTTCATAAACTCTCTCCTAGAAAATCAATACAGTCTGTACAGGGTTATTAGGCTGACTAGCTAATACATCCAAATCTGGTCTGCCCAGCCAGCAGTCTTCTGACAAAATGCTACCCAGAGTAGGCAAACTGAGCTTCTACAGACAGTGTGAGGTTGGTCTAGCTGAACAGGTCTGCAATGCAACTGTTACTTAGATTTCACTACCATAGCCATGCCTTCACACCAGGATATCAAAGGTTTAAAAACAACTTGTGTTCACAACAAATATGTTGTACCTGTTAAATAAGTTTGATCAAACAAAATCTTAATTAGTTTATAAAACTAGTTTACAAAGGGAATAAGGTTTGTTACAGTAAGGGACAATTCAAAGACTCAACCATAAATAAATAAGATAAAATGAAAACTTCAAATGTACACACATAGTGCTTTGCGAATTTTAAACTTAGTCTAACACTCGTGTGAACTAAATTTTAATGCTAATTTGACCATGGAAATTCCCAACATACAGGATATGAACTTGCCACTCCCTTCTATATATGATGCAAAGAGCAGAATTTTTGACCTTGTGATAATTTCCTATCTAGCAAATGAGAGACTTTATCATTCTAATGACATATATCTGAAAAATGTACCTACAATGCACAGATGTCTTTTTAAGTTTTTCTCTTACCTATGTATTCCACAGATTCTAGAATAACTCTCTGGAATATTTTGTATCAAAGTTACTTAAAACTAGAGTGATGGGGATAGGAACATTACCTCCACGATGTTGTTTTTTGGTTTTTGCTACTCTGACTCCATGCATGTATTTCAGGTTAAAGAATCACAAGTACTACAGGTTTTATGTTGGCATTCTTACACTTACTGGTAGTGAGAAATGGACCATGTAAATTAAGAAGTCTAATAGTATCCAAGTTGTGAAAGGTATTATGTGAGTAGTTCCCCCTTAGCACAATGCACAGCAAAAACAGATTTGTACCAAGTAAGAAATTCAAAATATTTTACAACAATACATTAAAGAACTAAATGAAAAAATAAGCAATAGCATTTGGAAATGATTTTTGTTCCTGATGTTTTAATATATTAAATCTTCCAAGAAAAGAAGTGCATTATTAACAAGCCTTCAGTACAGTATACTGATTCTAACTGAATCCTAAACTTTTTAAAAAAAAACTATTTTCATAGGACTTTAATAAAATTCAACCTAAAGACTGCTGCAACATCACTTCTGTGTCTTTTGAGCATTTGATAAGTCATGCTTTTGAGTACTGTTTAGAAAGTCAGACATATACATTCTAAATGTGTACTACAGACATTCATGTTCCAGATACTGATTAAAAGTTATAATTATGGGAAAATTTTACTTTTTAAAAAGCTTTTTGCATATAACTACACACTGCGTATGTATCCTCAATGAGATCCAATTAGTTACAAAGAATTTGCATTTCAGTTAGTACGGGATAACAAGACTACAGGGAGGCACAATGCAATTCCACCAGCAGAGTAAGAAAGTGTGTTCTTTCTTGTTGGCTCTGTAAGCAATAATTCTCACAATTGACTTTAAAATATAACTGATCTTTTCAGTGTTGGGTATTGAGGTAGGTTAAGGGTTTCCATTTGCTAAAAGAAAAATCACATATTGACGTAAAAATCAGACAATTCATATAAAAGGACATTAAAGGATTTGAGATATATGTTTGTAGGGTAGGTTTTGTTTTACTGTTATTATTTAAAGGGGGAAATACTGCATAGATTTTCTTTTCTTTTTAATAATTAATTTCTTTAAAAATTCATTGGAACTAGGAGTAGAAAAAATTTCATTGAGAAAATTCTATGTAAATACATATGGTTTTGTGATAAAGTCATGTGTGCACTATCCTGAAAAAGTACTCAAGGATTTTTAAGTTTTCTAGCTTTGTTTCCAACATTTGAATGCTGAACAAATATAAAATAAATGTAGAGTTTCTGTACACAATTTAAGACACATCTCTAGTACTTCTGCTGGTTTACAGAACAATACCTGTAATTCCCTGGGTTCAGTTCAGCAGCTGTTAACAGATTCTGTAATCTGTAATGACAGTAAACTGGCCTTTGCTCTTCTTTTATTCACTATTCATTTTCAAGGCTTGGTTAAGTACAGAGCTGGGTTAAAGATCAGTGGTTTTTCATGTGACACATGCTGGTATTCATTTAATGGCTTGTCAAGACAAAACTGTCCCTGTTCTTGCCAAAATAATAAAAATGACGCTCCACATCGCATGACAATCAGCACTTCCTTATGGTGGAACAACTCAAGCTTTTGTAATTCTCTTATTTTATGGAAAAAAATGTTAACAGGCTATCCAATCTTATATGTAGAATGAAGCTGCCATTCTCAAGGGAAATTTTAATGTTTTCTCCCCTGAACTGTAGAGTAACATATAAGCTACTTTCTAATCAAATCAGACTTTACCATATACAATAGTGTTGAAGCTTAAATTCATAAGGCATTAAGGTATATAATTTAATGTATGCAAATTATACAGAAGTAGCAGGCTGGACTCAGTCATAGAGGTGGGGCAACCAATTGAGGAAATGTCATTTTTCTAGAGAACAAAGTGTGGGACTTGCTTCACAACATCTGTTGGACTGTGTGAAATGTTAACAGATGTCTTAAGTGGAAAAAAAGAAGAAAGAATTAATAAAGGAAACCTCTTCTGAACAGATAATCTGCCAAAATTTCCATATTCCTGAGGAGAAAGTTGACAGCAGCCTTTTTCCCTTGTGAAACCTGCCATTCCTACTTTATCATATAGTTTTATTTTCTATGTGAAGTTAAAAAGAATTTATTTGACTCACTGTAAAGAACAGAAAAAAAGTAAAACAATAATTCAAATTCAGATGTTCCTTTTGTGAATAATTATATCATAATCTAAGCTGCTTGTTTCTTCTTGACTCACAGATATAATATGAGTGGACAGTAAAACATTTATCTTCCTTTAAACATACAGAGAGAAAGAGACAGAGGCAGAGAGAGAGAGACAGAGACAGAGAGATGAAATACTACTCTACTATACCAGTATGCTTTGGGGAAAGGGAAGTAGGGGAGATTAAAAAGCAGCTCTTAAAATACAATTCCTATGAACTATCATCTTTACTCATAAAAGTACTCATCTTGATAACGAAAACTCACCTAACATTGATACCTAAGTCCCTGTTCTCCAGCTGGCTCCTAATTCCTTTCTGTTATCATCCTTGTAAGGATGAAACACCATCTTTTAATAGCCAAGTATTCCTAAATGGTGACATCTGATGATTGTGAACACTTGTGAAGTACTAGCTGAATCCAGGTCTTTAAATTTTAAGGAAACTAGAAAACTTTATTTGCTTATTGAACAATTCTCCTTCATGTTTCAATTTATTAAATGATTGAGCCAAACCTAAATTGGCAGCCTTTAATTCAGACTGCATACATCTAACCTAGTGCCTATCTATTCAAGAACTATGTGACTATATTCATCTTTAAATCTTCCTCTTTGAAAACTTAGGACATAAATTTTGGTTAAAAGTTCATGGGTTAACTAATTCATATGGCACTTAAGGATTTTTATGGACTCTACTGTGAGAAGCAAAAATTGTGTTGTCTCTATTGCCAGTCTTACTCACTGTCCTAGCTCTCCTGCATGGGTCTGTGCCTGAGTTGTACATGTTAGTTCGTATTTATGACTACACCTTCGCCAGATGGCGCGAGCAGCTTGGACTGAGGGTTTCAACATATAGAAGTCTTAGCCAGAAGAGCCTGAAGATTTCAGGACAAGACCATGGTCTAAGCTATAAATAAGACATGCAAGTCCGCCTTCAGATCTTGGTTAGTTTTCTGCCAAAGTACTGTGGATCCTAAATGCTCTAGTGTTTACTCGCTGGAATGGCACATCAGAGCACATGGGGGGAAAAAGTAAAAGCAACTGCTATACCTGCCCCCTGCCTCAAAAAGAAAAAAAGTCCCCTATACCAAGGGAAAGAGCTTCTATTCTTAAACCATCAGTATGAGTTGAACATGGTGCATGATTGTAATACAACCTACTCTACGGGCAGAAGCAGGAGGTTCTCAAGTTCAAGGTCAACCTGGTGATAAAGCACAACTATAGACAACTACAGCATTCATAAGCCCCTACATTCCACACCCAGTATTACACAAAGCAAGAGAAAATAAAACAAATACATCATTTCATGACCAATGGGAACACAGGCCTCCTAACATAAGGTTTGAATAGAACTCAGGTTTAAATCACTTTAAACAGTGGCATGAACATCTACCATAAGTAAATATTAGTAACAGTTCTGTAAGCCTCCTACAGCAAAAGGAAGAAACTGCTACAATTGACAGTTGCCTCTGTACCAACAAAAACAATCTGTGATGCAGCTCTTTTTCATAGTAATATATCAAGAAAATTTTAAATGCCATAATTTGTTAATATACTATAAAAATAAAACAATGAAAAGATTTGATTAGGGTGTAATAGATAAGATAGTCTACAGAATGTTAAGTTCATAATGAATCTTTGAAATAATTATTCCCAGATACAAAAGTATCTATGATCAGCATGAATCTTTTGCCCTCCAATGATCAAACATTTTACATGCCTTGTTCAGGTTTAAAAACAGAAAAGTGACTAGCATCTTTTTTAAGCACTACCATTGACAACGGCTTCTTTCTGTCACAACCCTCATTTAACGTTTATGAGAAAACCTTCTGAACAAAAATAATTAGTGTTGTTTTTCTTTAAAGGAGGGGGGCAGCTGTTGGGAGATAGGGTACAGTGGGAATTACTCAGAGTACTGAAAAAATAATATTAATTTTTTATTTACTTCCTTCTAGAAACTGTGGACTGAGAAGCCTGCAGCTCCAGCAAAAATGTCATAATAATAGTTTCAGTTTCTGTCAGGAAGGAAGATTGAGATTCCTAGACACCCAAGAAAATCATGTTTCAGGGTAGGGCTTAATACCTTACACAATTATTTAAAAATACAACACTGTCTTTAAATTTATCACAGATAAAAGGATGCCTATAGATACTTCAAAAATAAATATAAAAATGAAATGTCAATATACTTAGAAGTTTGAAAGTCATTATAAAACCAAAGACTATTTTGTATACACATATATTTTAAATCAAAAAATGTTAAAGCAAAACAAATCTGAATGGATTGGAGATTGTTTTGAAAATTAAGGAATCCAGAATTTGCCAGAAACTTAATGAACAGCAAGTTAAAAATAGGAAGAATTAAAAGGTGGCTTAAGAGGTCTGAATAGTGATCATGTCTGGTGGGGAACGGTGTGCCTGGTGAAGGAGTAAGGGAAGCCTCCAAGCTACAGGCAAAGTTGTTTATCTCCATCTAGTTGTTGGTCCTGGGTATGTTCACTTTGTAAAAATACACTGTCTATGCATTTAAAAATTTGTGCATTTTTCTGTAAATGTGTTACACTTCAGTTTTAAAAGTTTACTACTATTAAAAATACTAATAACAATAAATGAACCTTACAACTATGTTGGGGGGGATAATGGAAAAGAAAAATAAAGGATTAGCAAGAAAGGAAAAGATAAAAGAAGGCGAATAGTTTATCACAATCAAAACCATTCAAATAACTGCCACTAGACCTACTGCTTGCAATAATCAGAGACAAAACGTGTTAGGAAACAAGTAAATATATGAGTTTCATGGCATGAAGATGAATATGAAAGGCAGTAAAAGTGTGGGGAAAATAATTACATAAAAGAGACCTATAACTTGGCAGTGAAAGCATATAAGCATATTCAAGTGATTTAAATGGAAAAGAACAACATACCTCCAGCTGAGATGTATCAATTTCACAGGGAGCCTTGAAATGTGCCTGCCAGTCTTGTTCACTGAGTCTGCCCTCTGATTTGAAATTAAGGCGATTTGGCGGTGAAGTGGGCACAAATCGTGCCTGTTGAGAGATTGGGAGACAAAATTATATACAATCTGCAAATAGTATTACTTAAAAGTGTAGAATACATAAACACAATTGAAAAATCTTTTAAAAACCTGCAAATACACCATACACCTCAAACACTTTCTTTTTAAAAATTAATGGTTTCTAAGGCTGATGATAGCAGCCAAAGGTTTAATTAACTCTGGAAAGAATAAAGGTAACAAGCAAGAAAAACTGAGTAATTTGTTGACTGGTAACAAATATATTTTTGCCCTAACTTCCCATGGTGCTGAAGATCAAACCCAGGGCCTCATACATGCTAGGCAAAGGCCCTACAAATAAGCTACACAACAATCCCACTCAATTAGTTCTTTTGTGGGAGAGTGGGGTTTGAACCCAGGTCTTCCTATGTGTTACATTCTAGCCTCTCAGACAATCTGTTATTCCTTCCACTTATTGTACACCCATCTTAAACATTTTTAGGCACTGTTAGAGGATACTTATCAAGGCCTTAATTGCCAGGTACAAAAAGCTGTAGAAACACAAAAGTTAAGACAACCTCCCTGCTTACAAGAAGTTTAAAATCTAATACAGTACAAAAGCCATGCATAAAATGACCTTACATAAAAACATAATGTGGTAAAAGAAACAGTCATGAGATCCTACCTGAATGAGAAAAAGATTCCTTAGAGCCAATGTGGTAAAAGAAAGCTAAGCAGATTTTGTTTTGGCCACTGAAGAAGTGGAAACTTCCTAGAGAAGTGATACAGTTTGACCAAAACATAAGGTAGGATGGGTGGCAATAATGAATACGAAGGGTCATACTAGAATTATTATAATAAAAAGGTTTTTATACTCTGCTATGAAGAGTTGCCATTTATTCTGTAATCCACCAGCATTCAAAAGGCCTGAAAGATTTTCAATAACAACATGGCAGGATCAGTACTAGTAGGTTTATCTGGGAACAGCAGGACCTACAGACTGGAATGTGAGAAGAAACGTGTGATGAGACCATTAGGAAGGAAGTTATTATAATAAACTGGGTAATGACTGTTAGGAATGGGAAAAAAAGAAATTACAAAACATATTATGAAGATAAAATCAAGGAGTAACTCAAAAGTTCTGGGTAAAAATGTAGTGAATACACTAAATTTCTGCTATTTCTGCTATAAATTTAGTGAATACACTAAATTTCTGAGCAAAGAAAATGGTACGGCTATCTATATAAATGGGAATCAAGTTAGTGGGAATATATACCAAGCTCACTTTGGGGCAACTGCAGATCACAAGGATAACTAATGAACTAGAAGTGTTTACTAAACAGATTGATCCTGAAGAATCACCAAATGTAGGAGCCATTTACACAGTCATGATGGAAGTTGTAAAGGACACAGTCAAGGTTTGCGTCTTAGAGTTGCTCAGGGAGAAGATGGAAGGAGCAGTGTTAACAGGGATCTCCATCGCCACTGTCTAATGTTCTCAAATGGCAAGGAAAGTCTACAGGAGGGAGGACAGTCAAGAGTGTCAAAGGTTCTAATAATATTCTATCAGGGTATAATAACGCCAAACAAGGGTAGTAATGAATAGAAGTTAATACAATGAGAACAAAACAAAATTCACAAGTCTGAAAAATATCGAATTCAGAATACTGCCTGAGGAATGCAAAGAGGAAGATTTAGATGTGGAGGCTAGACAGTGACTGTGCAATATAAACTGAGTAACTACCTGTACCATTTCAGATGTGTCTGTAGTATTAGTTCTTACGTTTGGCAAAGTGGGTGTATCTGTGACTGAACTGTTGTAGAAACGTGTTTTGCCTGACAGGAGGTATCTTACACAAGACTGATAGATATATAGACTCCATATTCCAGAAAAGTTATGATGTAAGTGATTTGTAAAAACAAAGAAACAGAAAAGATAAAGTACACTGTGGAAAGTTTGCGCAATGGGAGAGAGAAAGGTGATTTAAAAGGCTATGAGAATCTAGAAGTTTTGTAAATGAGATAAAAATTTTTCAATATGGGAGAAAAAAACAAAAAGAGTATAACAGAGGTAAAATAGGAGGAACCAGAGGAGAGAAGACTCTTGAAAATCCAAGTCTGAGGGAAAATGATATAAAAGGGTTCTAGAAGAGAGTATGATCAAGAACATAAATGAAAAAGCGCCTCTAAAATGACAAAAACACGCTTTTCAGAAACCAACGGTAAAAAGTATTTTAAAATTCTATGGTTAAAAAACAAATAAAGAGCAGTCACATAAGAAACCAATGTAAGTACCCATCTCCCTCTAAATGGTACATTAACTAAATGAGACAGAGTTTACTTATGTCTCGTAATCCAGGGCCTAACAGAGCACTTAGTACAAGATAAATGCTCAATAAATGATTGTTGTACAAAAGAAATAATCATCTCAAAACAGTACAGAGAGGCTGCCTGCTAAGAGAGACTGAATGAAAACCCTCCTGGGAGGAGAAAAGTTAGTCCAACCAGAGAGGGTGAAATGGAACTCAGGAGCAATGAGAAATGATTCTGTTTCTAAATGTTAGGCTACAGAAATAACTCAGCCACAGTTTCCAAAGAAGCATGAGAAGTCACAACATGCGGAATAGGTTCAAGACAGTTTAGTCCTAAGATTAGGAAGTAGAAAAAAGGCTTAGAACAAACAAGGAGTTCTGAATGCAAAGAGGAAAATAAACACTATTAGGCAGCACTGTATTACAAAAATTACATGGCATTCTCATAGCAAGGAGTACTTTTTAAAAATTTAAAATCTGACAATTGATTTTGGATTTTTTTTATTGAAACATCACAATTCTAAGTGTTTACTATAAAGTTTCTTTAAATGCCTGTGAATTTATTATTGGCTAAGGAAATTAGCCAACGCAAACAAAAATCAAAATACTTTATACTCTGTCACATTGGAGAGTTCAGTGAAAGAACGAGAGATTTAGAAGAGTATCATTAGCAAACAAGAGACACAGCTAAAGAGAGTCACATTCCTCTCCTCACTGCCCAGTTCCTGTCTGCAACTGTGATCCAAGGTCACACTAACTCTCAGCCCAGTTAGCAAGATCTGTGTTAGTAGAACTCAGCATTTTTACTCCAGAATTCCTTTAAAGAAGATGGAAAAAACAGGTTCCAATCACCTGGCCAAAATCAGCAGTTGCCAAAGAGTCACCTCAGGGACACCGACATTTATCTGCTGTGTTGTCAGTCACTACAGCCTGTCTTCCTAAGAGTCCTTTCCGTAAGGACTATCATCTAAGTGACCTGTCACAGAGCTTTATAAAGTAGCATTAATACTGTGGGCCAAAATGAGATTGATCTTTGAGCCTCTTGGTCTCCTGTTGTCAACAATGCATTATGAAACCAATACTAAATACTTTATAAACAGGTCTCCCTGCAGTGTATTAGAAAAACAGTGCATATTTCATGCCCCATAGTTAGGTAGCCACATATCCATCAGACTAATAAATTATTTAGTAGGTACTCAGAAGTGCAATAAGAGTCAATAAACTAACTTCTGGATACTTACAAGCTACTATTTCACTGAAAACTATTTGAATGAGAAAACTATCTCATAACTGGATGGGGGAGGGAAATATCCCAGCAGTTCTCTCAAGTATACTGTTGCTAGGAAGAAGAAGCCTAGTGAGTGAGAAGGTGCAAAAATCCCTCAGGCCCTCAAAAGACTCCTAGTTACTGAACTCAAAAAGCCCCTCCCAACCCTAGGCTGATTTCCTTCCTCTAATGTAGATTCCTCTGGTTCTACCATCCTCAGAGCTCAAGGAAGTAAAATTGATGGGAACACTTCTAACACACCGCGACCTGGGCCAGGCAACAAGTACCACTGATGGTTTGCATCTGATTTCTCCAAAGAAACAATGACTTCAGGGTACACAAGCTCTCTGCTATACGCACAGCAAGAAATTTTGAATTTGAGGAACTTGTTTTGTTTTGCTTTGTTTTTTGTTTCGGTTAAAACTCCCAACCCTATAGACACCAATGACACTGTCCCTGGTTTTCAGTCTAACAACACCATGCAGGTCATTATCTCATCCTCTGAGGAACCTTCTGCTCTGGATTGTATTCTAGTTCTTCAAGGAAGAATTTCTTCAGCTGGGAGTTATTTCTCAAACTATCAGAGGCGTGG